TGGGCCCGACGATCCTCGAGTGTCGTGGGCTCTGGGAGCCCTCAGAGCAAGGCCACCGTGGCAGCGATGTTTTGGCTTGCCCAGACGAAGTGTGGGAGGGTTCCATCGTCTTCGATGATTCTCCGGTTCACACCGCGGGTCATGGCGCACGCACGCCCACCGTCTCCGTGGTGCTCGATCTCTCGCTCGAGCTCTGCGCGCTCCTGCTCGAGTTGGAGTCGTGCATCCTCGAGCTCCTGGTTTCGCGCCCTTAGCTATTCCACCCGCATGCGAAGAAGGGCCCCTGCATGTTCCTTGACCTCGTCGTCGAGGTCATTTGGTGGGGTAGCCCCTCCCACATGGACGCTTTCGACACATCCCTCGGGGGTACCCACCATAAAACATTCTCGCGATGGGTGATGGCTCCCCCTGCTAGAGTCAGAGTCAGAGAGCGACTCTAAATCTCTCGCAAGAAGGTCGTGGAAAGATTTTGTGACGTATTCGGTCATCCCCACGAACTCGTCGTTCGTAGGGGATGGGTGCATGCGCTGCACCACGAGGTGACCAACGATCCCCGTAGCATTGTGTAGACCGAACGGGAACACCATCGGGGCACCCTGGGTGAGGTGTTCCGGGGAGAGCAGTTCCCCTCCGATGAGTTGTGTCATGACGTTGGCGAAGGAGAAAGTAAGGCAGCGCAGCTCCTTTCATGACGGTCGGGGTTCCAGGAAGACGTCGAGTTGGCGCTCCAGCCTCCTATAGTCAAAGCCGAGGAGTCAGTCGCTCCCGGGGACATGGGCCTCCGGCGAGCACAGCTGCAGCTCCTCAAGCGCCTCGATAATTGCGTTGAGGCCAGCGGAGTGGAGAGGCTGGACGGCAGCGGGAGCCTGCGCCAACTCTTCCTCCGTCGTGATGATGAAGTCTAGGCTCCCGAAGCGCATGTGCGCGCTCAGGACCCAGCTGACGCCGTGACTAGCCATCCGAGGCCTAATGTGGACGCCGAGACGCGTAAAAGTCTCCTACCTGGCGCGCCAACTGTCGGTATTTTAGATCATCGGCTAGTAAATTTTTAGTTTGCGTGTCTGGCCCGGATGATATGCTCGGAGGACACAAGGATTTATACTGGTTCGGACGGAATGTCCCTACGTCCAATCAACTGCTGCTCGTGTTACCGGCACTAGTTTGTAGTAGGGGTTACAAACAGGCAAGAGAGAAAGAAGGTCCCAAGTCTCTTGGTGAAAGGATCGAATAGAGTTGAGTCTTATTGAGCTCATTCAGCCGTGTGCTCGTGCGTGTGAGTGTTCTCTCCCATGGGATGTCCTGCTTCCCCTTTTATAGACGAAGGGGAAGGCGCAGGTTGCGAGAGAGAGAGAGAAAAGGAGAAAAGCGAGGGAGAAGAAGGCATCTAAGGTCGCAGCGTCCTTCATCTCCTTAATGTGGGTCCCACTGGTCCTATAGATGATGACAGGGATGGCTCCACATCGTTGCCCTGTTCGTCACTAGCGCCATACGCAGGCGTCGTCAGCCGGTCGTGGCGCTCCACTCCGTTCCGTCGGGCCGCATGGTCAGTAGGTACTCCTGTCAAAAAACCGTAAGGGGATTAGGCAGCACAGCGCCGGTCACGCTCGACACTGCTGGCGACGTGAGCCCCCAGGTATGGTCCGTCGTGGCCACGAGTAATGTCGATACGTGCCCGCTTCCCTTCCGGTGTCAGAACTTTGACCCTAGGGTCGTACTCTTAGACCCGTAGTGGTTGAAGGCAATATGGACCCCGTCAGGTGAGGCGGAATCCATGCCCGAGGGGTCAGGCGAGGCGGAGTCCCCGTCCGAGGGGTCGAGTGAGACGGAGCCCGCACCCTTGGGGTAGGACAACACGAGGCCCGCGCCCGAGGGGTCGGGCGACACGAGGCTCGTGCCCTCGGGGCCCGACCTGAGGGGTCTAGCGAGGCGGAGCCCGCGCCCGAGGAGTCTGGCGAGACGGGGCCTGCGCCCTCGGGGTCTTGCGAGATGGGGCCTGCGCCCTCGGGGTAGGGCGAGACCTTAAATACGTCTTGAACCATCCGGGCGAATTAACGTTCGTGGCCATTAACTTCCTTCCTCCGGGTATCCCTAATATCGATATATGACAGCCGCCCTCTCTCTCTCTCTCTCTCTCTCCCCCATCCCCACCGCCTCATCCTCATCCCTAGACTAGCTCCCTCCCCCCCAATTCCAATGTGGCGGTCGTTCACTGATAACCTATTTAGCGAACGACACGGTGTTCGACACAAGTGTGGGTTGCGCGCCCAGTGTGCACCTGCACCCACCGTTGCATGCTGTCTCATTTATTTGAAATTGCTATAACATCCGAACGATGTATCTATTTTTAATTCCATCATCACCGGTGTGTTCTACGCGATGAGACGAACAAAACTAGACTCCCACTTGCATATGTTTTAAAGAATTTTTAGTAACAATTGATGTGTATTAACTTTTAACATAGAACTTATGACTTACAATTTATGCACATAACTTGAATTAAATAACTTATATACACAAGTTGTATAGAGTAACTTACGTGATATAAGTTGTGTTTCATAATTTTTGTGTTTCTAAGTTTCAGTATAAGTTATAAGTTAATTCGTTCTTTTATGTTTCCAAATTTTGGTATATGTTATAAGTTAGTTCATTCTTTTGTGTTTAATAACTTTTTTAAACTAAATGATACCCCGCGCGTTGCTGCAGGAATTTATGGCGGTATATAGGTGGAGGTTTAATGGAGCGAGAGATAAGTGAAATCAAGAAATGAAAACGTTGGTCAGTGAAAAATATACAAGATTGTTTCAAGAAACATGCCGGCTCGTAGCTGCTTATAAGTTGATAATTAGATTTGCATATAAAATTCATAAGCATGTTTTATGCTAATTAAGTGAAAATATATATCGTTGGTCTTGTAAGGTTCAAGCATTTTGACTAACGTTATAGATCGAAATAATCTCCATTAGACCCGCATATAGCTAATAAGAAAACGAAACCTCATTTCCTTGCCGATATCATTCATCATGCCTGTCATTCTGATAGACGAAGACATCAACTTGATTCTAAAATTGCAAGCCATGGTTACGGAAGTTGGTCAGCCTTGCATAACATATATATCAATGTTACCTCTAACTGATCTTTATCAAAATCTGTCTTCCATTCCTTGTCCACAAATTGATCCGATATTTGATCCGATATGTTATGAAAGGCTGACCAATTTAAACTTCCGTAACCATGGCTTGCAATTCGAATACATGATGTTTAGGCTTGCGCTACAAAAAGCAAAAGTACAACATGAACCATCAACGTCGGAGTCGGACGCGCATCTGCACATAGCGGTGGTGCATGTGCACGAGAGAAAAAGGATCAGCGAAGGGCAGTGTTAATTACCTAGTGATAATAAGCAAGTGAAAGAATCACGGGCCATTCAGAGCAATTAGCATGCAGCCCCGGTTCATAACGTACTGTCGTCCTCTTGCTTGATCTCGGAAGTGAGAACGCAAGGCCCAATCGCCCAGTGCGCCGGCTCGATGTCCTGCCGAATACCTCGTGGCTCAGGCTGTGCAAGCGCTGCCAGATCGGTGTGCCTCAGCCCGGCCATATTCGGGCAGCGTCGGATACGGAGAGGTGACAGCGGAGGCGTTGTATACAGCGCTGGCTGCTCGGTAGGAAAGACTCACGTTGGCTCATGAGGAAAGACTCTCACGCTCACCAGAGCAAGCAGGGGTGGGCGCTAGTTATAAACTGATGGATGGAGCGACGTTTGAGTTTGCTGGGTTCTGGATTGGTAGTGGAACTGTGAAAGTTGCAGGCATGGCTGGATGATGGTGGAGGAGAAATTAAATAGGTAACGTATGAACTTTTAACAGCAAAGGGAAGTGCGGCCGCTGGGAAGGAGAGGCCAAGGGTTGTTGCTGCCTTACTACCTTCAAAATGATGTAGAAGTGGACCCTAGCTGACGTGGCTTCACAAAATTATAGAAAAATCTACTAATGGGGTCCCCTATTTAGGTATAGGAGATAGGAGATAGGAGATAGGAGATAAGGAGATGAGTTGTGTTTCTAACTTTTGTGTTTCTAAGTTTTCACATAAATTATATGTTATAAGTTATACGTTATAAGTAAATGTATATGTTATAAGTTAATATATATAAATTGTTAGTAGAAAAAAAATCTTCGAAACATATGCAAGTGAGTCTACTTTTGTTCGTCTCGTCGCGTATAACACACTGGTGCAGACGGAATTAAAATTGGATGCATCGTTTAGAAGTTATAGTAATTTAAAATAAATATTTTCTTTTTTTTTTCCTAAGGTGACGTCACGTCCAGGGAAAGAGATGAGGGAGCGGGGTGGGCGGATGTAGGAGAGTGGGCGCGTTATAGGCCTTCCACATGGTAAGCGGTGCCAAAATAAATATTTTCTTTTTTTTTAAGGTGAAAACGTCAGAATGAAAACCACTCCTTCTCTCCTCAGTCCAGGGAAAGAGATGAGGGAGCACCGGGGCACGTAGATGCACCGCTCCCTATTTTCCAGGCATCACTCTGGAGTTGGCTTCACTGCCTGCAGTGTGGGCGTGAAGCCTTCTTTTGGCACCACTCAATTGCAACACTGCGGAAGGCCTTAGTGGTGCGTGCGGCCATCTGCTTTTCCAAAAAAAGAAATTTTTTTGTTATCGAAATATTGATCGCTAATTTTGAATCGAATAATCGTTCGCTGATTAGTCTGACCGCCTCCTCACATGTAGCTAGCCCATCCGGCGCGGGGCGGCAAATCTGGTGCCGGGCAGCGGCGTATCTGGCAAGGGGGCGGATCTTGGGGGAAAAGGTATCAAAATTGCCAGAGATTTGATTTGATTTGGAAGTATCAAAATTGCCAGAGATCTTATTTGATTTGCGTTTGTCTTCTCAATCAATTCTCGCTATATGTAATAACACCATGTAGAAATAATTCCAGATCCAAAACGGAAGGAAGGACAAGGAACTTCGTCGTCCCGGCGGCCGGCCATGGCACTTCCTGCCAAGAAGGTGTCTCTCAGCGTGGTGGTGGCCATCCTCCTCCTCTTCTCTGCTGCATCATTCCCCGTGCATGCACGCAGCAGGAGCTATGGCAAAGTCCCACGCTGGGCGTCGTCGGCGGCCACCACGCCGGAGAATAAACGACCCGGGCAGACCATCTCCAAGGGACACAAGAACTACGAGCTCATGCTGCAGCTGCAACTGGGTATCAGGAGAGATTTAATTCTGTGCTCTCACAATGTGGTCTGGTTTTGGGAAAGGATGTGGAATTGGAGGTTTATTATGGTTCTGCATCTTTCAGGCATTCCGTGGGAAAGTCTTCGGCTGTGCCGATGCGAGCACTGGAACAGGGCGATTTTGACCCAGGGGAGAAGTTCTGGACACGGTTCCCACCAGAGGGTTCGAAGGTCACACTACCACATTCAACCGCGGAGTTCCGGTGGAAGGACTACTGCCCCATGGTGTTCAGGTTTTTGTCTTCGATTCTTGGTCTACCACTTCATCTGTGTGTGCTGCGGTATAGCTGCACGATCTGTTCATCTTGCGCTCTATTAATTAACTGGGGTGTTGTATTCTGCACTGCAGGCATTTGAGGAAGTTGTTTGCTGTTGATACAGCGGATTACATGCTTGCGATCTGTGGCAATGATGCTCTGAGGGAGCTGTCTTCACCCGGGAAAAGCGGGAGCTTCTTTTACCTTACCCAAGATGACTGATTCATGATTAAGACAGTGAAGAAATCAGAAGTCAAGGTAGTGTTTCTGTTTACCATTGATGTAAACATGCTAATTGGATTTGCAGCTAGTTATTTTAATTTGTGTTTCTCAATAAATTGGATTGGGATTGGGATTGGATTGTGGGATTGGTATTAGATTGAGAAGATGGTTTTTTCTTGTTGAGCTCCATGTGACCCTGCCTTGCAAATTGCTGTGATTGTTTTTGTGCAATTGACCTAGTTATTTTTTGTTCTACTCCGTACAAATGTTAAAAATACTCTACTAAAGTATGAAGTACAATTAGTTACCAAGAAGAAACCTGTTTTCCTGCTTTTGCAGAGGGGCTAATTTCCATCTATTTTGTTGCCACAGCTGCTAATTCGAATGTTAAATAGCTACTACAAACATGTCAATCGATACAAGAACTCATTAATCACGAGGTTCTATGGTGTACACTATGTGAAGCCCCTAAATGGACAAGAGGTGTGATACCTACAACAATTACCTTTTATTGCAAATTTTCACAACAGTCATGGTTCTAACAATTCTATTTTCTAGGTCCGATTCATTGTCATGGGTAATCTGTTCTGTTCAGAATACCAGATTCATCGCCGTTTTGATTTGAAAGGTTCATCCTATGGACGAACAGCAGACAAGTTTGAAGATGAGATTGATGAGACAACTACACTCAAGGACTTGGACCTCAATTTTGTCTTCCGGTTGCAGCGATCTTGGTACACCGATCTCCATGAGTAAGTTCAACTTCTAAAACTTATAGGGCATCAATGTTACTTTCACTGGAAGCTAATTCTTACAGAGTTAACTGTGCAGACAATTGAGACGAGACTGCGATTTTTTGGAATCGGAAGGGATTATGGATTACAGTTTCTTGGTAGGAGTTCACTTTTGTGATGACATCGCTGCCTCAAAGATGGGATCATCTACTTTTACTGCTTCTCCAAGTAAGTTAGGGCTGTTTGATTTCGACCTTGACAAGGTCAGGTACCTGTTCTAACCATTGTGATGATCCTTAACCAGAGCTTTTAACAAAGAGTGAGTCATTTCAAGGTGGTGGCACGCCAGAGCTCTGCTTCTCAGATGATGATTTTGATATGATACCTGATTGCCGTTGGTATGTTGCAGCATTTTATTTAGGGATTTTTGCTTTGTTGTGACTTGTATGCATTGCATCTTGCATATCATCAGTGCTGTTACCAGCATATCACTTTGCTTTATGTGATCTTAGAAATTGGATAGTTTATTAGCTTGATCTACCATTTTTTTTATAATCATCACAGTTTGATCCTTTGTGTGGGTTCCGTTCAGTGTTTTGGTGCACGAAATGAATTTGCATCATCTTGGGAACATGTTCAAATTAAATATAGCAGATTAGCAAGTTTTGGCCTGTGACATAACTGCAGTGCCAACCATGCAATTGGTTGATTCTTGTTTTAGACTATGAGAGAGATTCTTGCTGATAAAGAACAGAATTTATGCTTTTGCTGCGAGGCATAAAAGTTTTGTCCATGCCTTGATAAGTTGTACCTGGTCGCCATCTCATAAGAGACTTAAGAGTTGTCATCATAGCGCAAAGCTTCATTGCTGTCCACTTGGCTTACACATGGATGCATTTAGGCACTGTTGGGACCTAGTTGTTTGCTTATCTGTATCAGAGATGATTGCCTCTTCTAGTTAAAAAGCATCCAATGCTCCAGACACTGAAATATTATAATTTAACCGGTTCTCTAATGTCTAATGGCAACATTTTTTGTTCAGGAAACCGTTGATTAGACTGGGTGCACACATGCCAGCCCGGGCAGAGCAAGCATCCAGAAGGAGTGAATTTGATCCGCTTCTCCTAACAGGCGGGGGATTCCTATTCCCAAACCAGACTGGCGAAGTGCACGACGTGATTCTCTTTTCCGGGATAATTGACATCCTCCAGGATTACAGCTTAAGAAAGCGGGCAGAGCATGCTTACAAGTCGTTACAGACAGATCCCAACTCGATCTCTGCTGTGGACCCGAAGCTCTACTCGAAGAGGTTTCAGGACTTCATCGGTAGAATTTTTGTGGAAGATGGCTAACAGGCATTGGGAGATTAACCGCGAATTCCATGCGACGAAGGCCAGAGCACCTGTAATGATTCCGGGGCAGTATTTTTTGCGCGGAGTAAGAAGTCTACATATGTCCTGTTCGCTTGGCTTATAAGCCGTACTTTTTCACCAACGAACAGTATTTTTCCCTCACAACAAATCAGTCAACAGTTATTTTCAGCCATGGTTTATCAGCCAAACGAACATGGCATATTGCCAAGAATCCAAAGCACCTGGGACGACGATAGAGAATACAAAACCTTTTTCATGAGCTACATCAACCTCCAAAGGCCTCGGGGCGGCAGAAAATACCAAACATATTACGTGTTGCTCCGGAAGATGCGCGGCGTCGCTGGTAGGAGTGGTTTCTTCCAAGCACCCTCACCGACTCTGGCGAGCCACGTCTCCTCCACTGCTACACATTTGACGTCAACGGCTTCCTCGCAAGCCTGACCAGGGCCGAGGCTTGGGTGTTGGCCAACAAGCCAGGAGTTCGGAGCATGTCTTCGGATGATCTAGGACCATATAGCTATTCGCCAGCAAGTTGCGGCTTTGTCACAGCCAACACGAAGAGGAGCTTCGTTCGTTCCAGACCGGCATTCTGAGTTTAAGTCATTTATTTGTTGGTGTGCTGGCATTTTAATCTCTGTCCGGGCATGAAGAGTTGGTTGAGTGGGAAAATAAATCATTCGTTGGACATGTAAGCTGATTGTTATTTGTTGGTGTGCTGGCATTATTTTTCTGGCCGGGCATGATGATTGGTTCCTTTCCTTGGTTTAGCTTTAGCCTGGCTACAACCTAATCAAGCCTAGCCTACACCAGGTTCTATCCTGTATCCTATCTATTTTAATGGGCATTCATTTTTCTTTACAATCACTCAGTACATGAAAACAGAGAGGTTTAGTGTTTCCTTGATTACGATGAGAGTAGTGAAACATTTATAACAGTACCGTTTTGGGATTAGTGCAGGGAGTTCCCAAACAGCCCCATGTATGATGTGGTTGGATATTACAAGCAACGACCTCTCTTCAATATCCTTAAAGTTTAGCAGGTTTATGAGAGAACTACTTCATTCATATAGGTAGTGAAAAGCATAATGGTTCCACACGGCCTCCATTAACATCGCCTGTGGAGTGCGGGGGGCTTCTCTCCTGTCGCCTATTATACTCCTAAACCTCAAGCCAAACCCCTTCCATGTTTACACGGAGGGGGATTTTGGCCATTGTTTCGTGACGAGCGCAACGAGCGTGAGATTATCAAGCCGACGCGTCTGTGAAACTAGTAACTGTGATTATGTTTCAACAGAGATATCATAGCTTGCTATCACAACTGGTGCTTCAATCCACAGGCATAACATTGCCTCATTGCCTGCGTTAATTGGTATTGATACTGTCTGCTTTATTACTGAATCCTAGGACGATCTAGGTGTCATGTTCTTCAATGCCCTTTCAGATTTACCACTAGATGCTGTTTTGTAGTCTAATTTCTGTGGTTCACTGTCTAATCTTGGTTCCTGGCAATAAATTGCTGTTGTGTGGTGTACTAGTCCAGGCAAAGCGTTTAGCCATCTGAATTCCTTTTTGTTTCCCAGAAACAACAAAAATATGGATGCGCATAATTTCTGTGAACACAGTATGCTCTTAATCTCAACATTTAACCCCTTGCTACTGGCTACCATATTTAGTTTTCCAGCCTGCACGACTTATCTTGAAACTCTGCTTGCAGTTGGTTGTGTTGCCTTAAATCGGCAACCTGTATCATTTATCTTTCTTGTAATCATACATTTTTCTCAGTGCACATGTGGCTCTGTATATCTGCGTTTGAATACTTTAGCCGTTTCAAAATGATCCTTTCATATTTGCAGCTTTGGTGTTTTCATGCATCATCCCACCATTTGCTTGAGCACATTTCAGGACTAGTATCAATTATAAGTTTTCTTATCAATTCAATAATCACATCACGATTTGTCTGGTGTTGGTAACGCCATTCACAGTTTCAATTTTATAGGCCACTGGAGCACATGATGATTGGGTTAGAAGCCGTGAAGGAAAAGGCCAAATAAAAACGAAAGACGCGCCGGATCACTCGCCAAACTGTGGAGGGTGGAGCGGGGAGGGCAGAGGCCCCGTGGGAGATCAGCGCCCAGCAGGTGTAGCCCCGGAGCCGGGAGGCGGGAGGCGGGAGCCGTCCGCCCGTCCCCCTGGCGGCGACATCTTCGGGGAGAAAAGTGACGCGGCGCCAGTGCGGCCGGGCGCCTGGCCCATGGTTCTCAGCTGCTGCTCCCCCTCCCCAGTGCGGCGTCTGTGGCTAATTAGATTACGCTTATGATGGTGGAAGGGGAGGGATGTATTATGCCAGAAATGCTTATGGATAAATTTTAAATGTTTAAAATATTTAGTTATCTCCTACAACTAAAAAGACTAAAAGTAAGACTATTTTTTTGTGCGACTTTTTTTTTGGGTCGCTTTTCTGTTCCGGCCATGCGATACCCCACACGATAGAAAAAGAAACTGCAATCCCTGCGATCCCCGCCTACTTTGAAGAAACAAATCGATCACCTGATGCCACATGCATGGAAGGAAATAATAATCATGCATGGAAGGAAACAATTGACAAAGATCAAGCAAGAACTCCTCCCTTCCGGCCATGCGATACCCCGCGCGATAGAAAAAGAAACTGTCATCCCTGTAATCCCCGACTGTTTCGAAGGAAACAAATCGATCACCTGAGGCCACATGCATGGTAGGAAACAATAATCATGCATGGAAGGAAACAATTGGCAAAGATCAAGCAAGACGACTCAATGAGATTGGCCCTTAATTTTAGTGTTTTTAGCATGCAGACCTGAAATTAAAAAGTGGCTGCTCCTCGAGAACATCAGTGGTGCCAAATAAAAGATGTGCAGGTTATACATGGTGAGACTGATGAATCTTCTGCAATTTCCTAAACGAATATTCCCACCATTCGTATATAGGTTCATTCCCCTGTGTTTCTTCGTGCTTCAATTAGCATATAATATGAAAGTATTGTTGTGTTCATCACGACTTCCAGTTGACTACTCCCATTAGCATATACTTTCTCTGCCCCAAAATATAAGTCGTTATGGAATGTGTGCAGGTTAAACTTTCTCAACTTTAACTAGGCTTGTAAAAAATACGTGCAATATTTAACAATCAATTGGTCAACTCCTGAGGCCGCATGCATGTAAAAAATACATGTATTATAATTGGTCGAAGTTAAAAAAAAGTTGACTTCTCGGGAAGCGAGAATGAATTCTATTTTGGAACAGATGAAGTATATGAAAGCAGTGTTGAAAATATTTTAACAATCAAGTTCGTTTTTGTCTGATTGGTAAGCTTAGACATCATAATGGCATCAAAATTTTCGACTCTCACGGACACCTTCATGGATCAGTGCAAAGCATCACAATCTTACAACATACACAAATGACAACCTTAAAATTATCTTAGACGTTCTAGCATTAGAGTATATACGTGCAGACACATATGTATGGTGGTGCAAGTGAGCAGCCAGTAAGAGTCGAGAGTTAGGGGGTGTTTGATCCTAGGACTAAACTTTAGTCCTTGTCACATTGAATTTTTAGATATCAATTAGGAGGACTAAACATGAGCTAATTATAAAACTAATTACATAAGTTGTGGCTAATTCGCTTGCCAGCGCCGTGTACAGGATGGTATAGAGATATGGTGGAACTTATTCGTGGATTTGTTGGCGCACGAAAGAAATGGATATCAGAAATCTCTTTCTGCCGATATAAAAAATATGATCTTAGCCGCATCACGAAAAGATCTACACAGTAGAGTTTATGAGCCTGCGACGCTATACTCTCTGTGACTGTGTAAATTTCACAAACTCAGCTTTTTGGATTAAATGTCACTTTAATGTCGGTCATATACTTTTACAATATTGTTATCTTATCGTGCGATCCGTGTGTTTTTAGTACAAAAGTTTAGTTGTTCAGTAGCAACGCACGGGCACGAACCTATTTATGTATATACTTGAATCTGTGTGTACATGATTATATGGAGATGTAGTGGAACTTATTCATGGATTTATTGGCGCATGAAAGAAATGGATATCGTAGAATTCTTTCTGCCGATATAAAATATTATCTTAGCCGTATCATGAAAAAAGTCTATATAGTAGAGTTTGTGAGTCTGCGACGTCGCGCTCTCCGTGACTGTGTTAATTTCACGAACTTTGCTTTTTGAATTTAATGTCACTTTGACGTCGGTATTTAATTTAACAGTATTGTTATCTTATCGTGTGATCCGTATGTTTTTAGTATAAAAATTTAGTTGTCACGTAGCAACGCACAAACACACGCTACCTAGTTAAAATCAAAAGAGTTAAGAAGCTAGCTTAAAAAAGGGATTTATCCTTACCAACTCCTCTGGTTGGACTCATTCCAAAATATCAATTGCACTCCAAAAGACCGAGATAGAAGAATGAAAATAGTACTTTTTTTATTTTAAATTATAAAACGTTTTGGTATTTTTAGATATATACTTATACTAGTTTTTATTGTATATTTATATATACATTATGTCTATATATATATATATATATATATATAGTAAAATGACGTATGTGAAAATTTAAAACATCGTACTATAATATGCGCTACTACATGCACCGTTATAGGCTCTGGCGGGTGCTTCACAGGCGGGACCAGATCAGATACTCGTACGTACCTAAATGGGCTGGGCACTAATCGATGGATGCACGTAGTGTTAGCCATTAGGTGGCACTTGGCATCGTTATTAGGTGGATAAGCAAGGCAGGCATTACGTACGGCGCAGACGAAACAGCGCGGCTGATGCTGACGGCCACGTCGCCGTAGCAGCAGTGGCCGATCCGGCCTCCGGCGCGGCGCCTGCTTCTAGAAGCGCGCCAGTCTCTTTGAGGCCCTGTTTATTCTAAAAATTTTCACCTTAAACTATCACATTGAATCTTGTGACATATGTATAGAGTATTAAATATAGACGAAAAAAACTAATTATACAGTTTGGTTGAAAATCGCGAGACGAGAATGTTTTAAGCCTAATTAGGCCATGATTAGCCATAAGTGCTCCAATATGCGCTAATGATGGATTAATTATGCTTAATAAATTTGTCTCGCAGTTTTCAGACGAGCTATGTAATTAGTTTTTTTATTAGTATCCGAAAACCCCTTCCGACATCCCCAAAACATCTGATATAACATCCAAAAATTTTCATTTCGCAAAATAAACACACCCTAAACAGGGGGCGTCAGCATTGGCATTTTGCAGGAGGGCTGACTTCTAGGAGACCAAGGGACTTCGTATCTGTATATATATACTCCATCCAATCGATCTACAAATAAGCGTCCTCAACCAGTATCAAATTTAATCAAATATATATTATGTTACTAAATAAATATCATTAGATGAATCGTGTCATATTTTTTTATAATAGATCTGTTTGGATATGCAAATATTCATAACTATTTTTTTATAAATCTAATTAAACTAGAAATTAGTTAACTCATTGAAGTATGAGATGTGCACTTATTTTAGAGCGAAATGAGTATATATTCGCACGCGTGCTCGTGCTCCATCACCACTGCGCCGTTACCCAACCTTGGTTTACTCCAAGTCCATTTTTCTAACAGGAGATTAGAGCATCTCTAGCAACTCTAGTACAACTACCGAATAAGATGCTAATGGGGTCGGCCTAACACTATTAACACTATTAGGAAATGTGTTGCAGCAAATCCTTAATACCCTTCTTCTAATAGCAACCCATCATACTCGCCAACTCATCTTCGTGTCCAGTCCAACTTGTCGGTCAGTCCCAACACCATGGTCCATACACCATCCATCGTCAGATCACGATGAATGGCTCACATCTCACCCGACTCAGAACAAAACCCTATCCTAGTTCCACAGTCGTCACCTCTCTCTCTCTCTCTCCGCCACAAGCTCGCCAGTGTCTATAGCCGCCGCAGCCACCCTCTCCACTGTGCACGCTCGTGACCTCGTTCATGCTCGCCAACTTATAGCTCGTTCGGCTGGTAGGTAGAACAATAGATTTTGGATTCTTTTGGATAATTGAATAGTATTCTGTGAGAGAGAATAAGCTAAAACAAGCTGAAACAAGCTGGAAGTAGTATAGCCAAACGGGGTGTTAGTTGTCCCAGTTCGCTAGCTCAAGGAATTGGGCGGCGAACGTCTTACGTCTAGACCATCGGGATGTATTGCCAAAGATTATGTGAGCTCGTATACGAACACCATGATTTATACTTGAGGTGCTCATAGGAGTAGGGTTTACAAACGTGTGTTCATAGGGCTTAGTGTGCGTGCGTATTGTGGACGCCAATGTTGTATTGTGTAATTCTTAAAAAAATATTCTATGAGCTGCGTGTATATGAACATCATGATTTGTACTTAGGGATGAAAACGGTACAGAAATATTCCGTACCGAACCACATCGTTTTCTACATTTAATCCGATCGAATTCGTATTTTCGGACAAATTCGAATTCGGTTCGAAATTCAGAACACCAAATTCGAAATCGGAACGAAAATGGTTTAGACATTTTTCCGACCATTTTCTACTTTTAATTCGGAATATCCCGAATTCGAAATTCGGTTTAAACCAAATTTGGCCCACTAAAAGTCTAACCTTAGAAAAATTGTATCTTTTTCAAATTATCTCGGATGAAGATGATTTTTATATGAAAATTGTAGCTCTCGACGAGATCTACAACTTTCTAGTTTTCAGTTTTTTCATTTGAGGTCTTTAAAATGTTCAAAAAAATTAAACAGAGTTTCAACTGTATATTAAATTCGCGTACAAGCGCTTGTTGTCTTAGAAAAATCATATCTTTTTTATATGGTGTCGAATAGAGATACTTTTTAAGAAAGTTGTAGGATTTGTTAATTATTATTCACTTGTCAATTGTTATGCACTTGGTACTATAGGTCAATATTCTGTATTGATTTTTCGTATACCGACCGTGTTCGATATAATTCCGCTCGAATTAGTTCGTTTTCGAAATTCTCGATATTTCATAAGTTCTTGTCCGGTTTTACTGCTTTTGCTTTCGTTTTCGTATTCAAATGTAAAAATAGAAAACGGTTGAGGGGTTTTCCGACCATTTTCATCCCTATTTGTACTTGAGGTGACAAGAGGATGTTTTTACATGGTGATTTCTGGTGGCTGGATCTGGATGCTGCGCCACGTATCACAACTCGTGGGTGTGCGGGTAACTTCCCAAACAGTACAGATATAGCAAGCAAGTAATATGAAATGCTAAATTTCAATGAATTTAGATTGTACCATTCAAAACTCCATATGATTAGCAAAATTCCACATGAACCAGTTACATACATCGCAAATCTACAACAAGCAAACAATCATATCCTTTTTACCTAGCACTGCCTACAGGTATATTATATGTATATTGCTCGATCCAAAATGTCCAGTGCACCGTGCAGCTCTACACTACAGTCTACCTTATTACTCCATCAGTAAATCATGCACGACAGTTGTATGTTTATCAGAATCAGAATGTACATGACTAATATAGTATTAAGCATACAAATTAGTGATCATATCAGTTCTGGAATCTCTAGCCCTTGGTTTCTATCACCTATTGCTCCCTAAAACAGCATCACATGCCAAACATTCAACCACCACAGCTTGCAAGTATCTCCCACCAACACAAGATTGTTACAAGACCCGGGTGGTTCCAGGCCACCTGCACTTCAAACAAAAGAACCTTGCAGCAGGGGCACTCCAGCTTCTTCAAAATGTAGCTCATGCCGAACCCAGATATTCAACTGGGCTCCGAGGCCACTGCTTCTCTCATAACAGCCTCGGAACTATCCGGAGTACAGTGGCACCTGTGCCACACAAGGTCACCAGAATCCGGAATCATAGTGGGAAAATGGATGGGGTTTTAGTACAATATCCAGTTCCCTGCCACAAAACAACTAAGTTTACACGTACAGGTATAAGTTAAACAGTAAAACCATACATCAATTCAACTTTCAACTGTAAGAGGAAAAAACATGGCGAAGTGCAAGCATCTGCCATGAAATCTGCTGAAATTTCTTAAAGTGGAAATGCTGTTCCAGTTCAACTAACTCCCAGTCCATCTCCTCTTGCGAGCTGGCCGCTCTGGCTTCACTTCCATATCAGCAGCAGCAGATTCATTTTGGGGAGGCTGCACTTCGGTATCCACCTTTTTGCTTTGAGGTGCATCCTTCTCGCCAGGCATGGGAAGTTTGAAACGCTCACTTCGTCTCTTGAGCTTCTCAACTGTGTCTAGATGTCGGTCACGCTCACGCTCTTCAGTCATCTTATCAGATGTCTGCCCAGTATCAACATTGCTATTGATGTCTGAGTTGCCAACTGCAGCAGAAACTTCAGATTTACCTACCTCATCAGCTTCAATATCAGCTTTGATGGTAGGAAATGTCTGTGTGCTATCATCATCGATATTACTATATTCTATCTCTTTGTGGCTTGTCCATCGCTCCAACTTAGAGCGACCCCTTCTAGAATCCTCGTGGTTTTCATCATCTGATATGGCGTCTTCTTCCACTTGATTCACTAATGAATTATCTGGCTGAGGATTCTGGCTCTTCTTGGATAATGTTGCATGACCTCTACTACTCTCTTGTTCATTCACTTCTTTTGTTTCAACCTATATACAGAGTTATTGTAACTGTTGAGGGACAAATATGACCAAAAGAGCATTCTCCAAAAGTATATTAAACCAAAAAATACTCCTCCATTCCAAATTGTAAGTCGTTTTAGCTTTTCTAGACACATAGCTGTTGCTATGCATCTAGATATACACTATGTCTAAGCTATGTATCTAGAAAAGCCCGAACAACCTACCATTTGGAATGTAGTAGTAAATCTACTTCTACACATCAGCTATACCAGAGTTGTGTGCAGATGGCTTTTATTTTGTAGAGACATAGTTGCTCACCACATATAAATCCCAAGGATCACGCCCACCACTGTACAAAAAAGGACTATTGCGCTAACTACACCAAAACCAGAGCTATGAAGGGAACTTAATACGAATTTTAACCATGTGATATATGTATGTGCTATGTACTCTCTCCATTCCAAATTATAAGACGTTTTGGCTTTTCTAGATACATTGCTTTTACTATGTATCTAGACATAGTGTATATCTAAGTGCATAGCAAAAGCTATGTAACTAGAAAAGCCAAAAACGTCTTATAATTTGAAATGGAGAGAGTACTTAAGAAATCCAGGAATGTATCTATCTTCAGATGTGCTTTTCAGATATGCATTAAACACATGCATGCTGGCTCAGTTTGCACCTTAGTATTAGCAGCTCAGTTTAAATATTTGTATCCATCTTCTGCCTTTGCAACAAATTCAACAGTGTTATAAGCAAACATGGGGACAGATAGAGCAGGGCACCACTCAACAGGTTTGTTTAGATTGCCTGATAGAAAAAGGGGGGGACTAACATTCCAAAAGTATACGAACAAACAATAGAATTCACAGGTTTATTGTGCACATAGTTTGCCGAGCCCATAGGGGTAAGATCTCCAAACAGCCACTAAAAAATCATGAGATAATAATGTGTGCCTATGTGCTCGTTCCCACAAGATGTTCATCTGCAATGATTCTATATTTTGTCATGTCCAACAATGACTCCTCCCATCTGCCGACCATTGCAACACTGTAATTGATGGCCACTTCTACTAGAAGCATGGATATTAGTTCATTCCTGTATATACTTAAGTGGTCCCCTTTTTACTCCATTTTCTAGGTGAAGTGCAAAAGTAGTCCTTCGAAGTTATGTCTAATTTTGCGCACATCACCTGATTCATCAATTATTTAACAGAATCATACAAATTCCATAGTAAATGAGCAGGAAAAAGTGTGCAGTACACGAAAGCTATCTTTTGAAGCCTAATGATGTTTTTTTTTAATTGACAATAGTCTCAAATGGTGTAAGCCCTAGGAAGCCGTAGAAATTGCATAAACTAGAGAATCGACTAATCTGATGTGTAAAAGACCATAAGACACGTTCTATTGGGTTCATATGTAGAAGAGTTAAGCTGCGACTGCAAGCCTGCGACAAAAACAAGTGTTTCAATAAAAGGCCACCAGTAGGTTTGCATTCCTAAAAAGGAACTATGTTTGCCCATACCTTACTCGAGATGCATTGGTATACTGACTACAACATGCAATTACAAGAGACACAGAACCCGCGTGACAGCCTGACAGGTGCTATTTACAATGACTGGTTATGGCTTGTTTTGCAGCAGTATGGCTGGTTGACAATATCAGCATTCCATACAGGGTGCAAGAGAGATTGATGCAACTCATAAGTACACAGCTTAATTTGCCACAGCAAATATAGCCTCTTTATGTGAGGTACCTTAATGTGACAGATCTTAGTGAAATGGAAGCATGCACACTCAAGTTCACAAATGTAACAAACAAGCAAGCCCATGAACTGGTCTGCCTAGGTGAGCGTATGCATGTCTGAATACTGTAACAGCAGTTACTTGACCTCAAAGTGGTGTGTATATTATCATATTAAATCTGCTTTCAAATGACCTTACGGGATGGAACCCTAAAAAAACTAGTCTTTGGAGTTATACATTTTAAAGGAGTTCTATTTTAGTATTGTACAAATTACTTGCTTTAGGTGAGCTTACCCGGTTGCAAATTAATGTATTTGTCGCTATTTGCATGCCTGTCCCGTGCTGTTATGTTAGTAACCTGAACCCTATGGTAGAACCAATAGATGTTAAGGTGAGCTTATTTTATGTGGAGTCTTCAAGGTTAAATAATGAATGATGCATACAATACATCAGGTCACCACATACCTACCACTCTACTGGCAGTGTTTCTTGTTTGAAGTTAATTCAATATAAATAGTAATCATGCCAAGCATAGGCAACATACTACACAAGTGTCACTATTTTGTTGTTAAAGCTAAAAAAGATATATATTGAGATGTGTTGCAATGCACGGTCACTGTAGTACTAATACGAATTATACAACACATCTAAGTACTCACTCGCTAAGTGCATTTACAAGAAAATCGGATGCTAACATATCGGGACATTTGACCTCCTTTTTACCACAAAAATGCAAACAATTGAAGCTATGACCCGATAACTGAAAAGACACCAACATATCAGCACTCACATATGCTGTAAACAGTCATCATGAAGCGCTGTAGACATAAACCCCCCCGCCCCCACCCCCACCCACCCACCCACCCAAATGTGCATAATCCAGAATACAAATATATTGCAATATATAATTTTCACTTAACGATCATACAAAGCAAAATCCAGTCTATCTATTCTTTTTATATTTCCACTACAGCCTGAATTTATAATGCCCATGCGTTTAGGAGCCACTTTCCAAATAATTTCATACCTTCCCACTGCGATGGCTTTCATGGTCTTCACGTCTCCTTTTGCTCGATCTGTGATCATGCTCACCAAGCTCGGAACCTCTGCCCTTTCTTGTGCTCTCCCTATGCCTATCTCTACCTGTGTGGCGAGCATCAGAACTGCCAGATAGACGATTATTGTTTTGTTTTTCTTGCCTGGAGTTCCTCTCACTGTTTGAATTGTCATCACGTGGATGTACATCAGAACGCCCTTTATTCTGCACGTTGTTTTCTTCCACGCCCTGACCTCTCCTCGAAGGTTCATTTTTCCTGGTACGCTCTTGAGTGTCTTTGCTCATTACTGAAGATCTTGGTTCATCCTTCTTCCTACCACCACTGACTAACTTATCATCCATCATCCGACTACCCCGACTGGTTCCTCTTCCTTCTTCCCTTTGAACGGTTAATGCATTTTCATGCTTAGGCCTCTGTCTATCCTCCCTTTCTCTTTGTCTCCAGTTGTCATCCTTCTGTTTGGCATGATAACGATCATCAGCCTTCTCCCGCAGTCTACCACTATCATCTCGCCTTTTCTGATCAATTCCATCATCCCTCTCTTTTTTTCTTCTGTTATTATCATCCCTTGCTCTATAACCGTGTGCCACGACCATGTCTTCATTTTCAGGCTTCAACCTCCGCAAGTTCTCATCGTCCTTATTTCTCTTTATATGAGAATCGTCACTTTCACGGCGATTCAAAACCACATCACCACGCTCTCTTTGTCGAGAGCCTCTCCAGTCGCCATCATCCAAACGCTTCCGTGAATGATCTTCATCTCTATCATTCCTATCGATGGGCCTCACCTTATTTCTATGCCTTGCACCACCTTCAACATTGTACTCTAGCCTCAAATCTTCCTCTTTAGCACGTCGGCTGTGATCACCATCATCTCTCCTTGGCAAAATTTCTGTCTCTCTTACCCTATCATAACTCCTACCCCGCATGTCAACCCGATCTCTGTTTGCATAAGATTGGTGGATATCTTCCCTGCCTCTGGAGGGTAAATGTGATCTTTCCAAATCTGATTTTACATCTCGTGAGTACTCATCTTTTCGGCGGAGGTTGTGTTCTTCCATGTCATGATGCCTTCTTACATTATTTACTATCCTTGATTGCCTATCTTGGAGAACTTCTTCACCAGATTCAAGGCGTTTCTGCTGATCTTTGCTGCTACCAGACCTCCCTTTACTATTTTCACTAGTCCTCAATTCATCAGGTTCACTACTATTGTGTCCAGTAGGTTGCTCAACCACAGATATATGTTTCTGCTTTTTATCAGAGTGAACCAGGTTATCATCCTCATTTGCATCGCTAGGCGTGTTGGGGTCTGAGGTAGCATCATCACCATCCACTTCAACACTACCAACCAATGCAAGCTTATCATCATCATCACCACCACCACCACCGCCATCAAAATGATCTTCTGTACTCAGTTTATCTGCCACGTCATCATTAGCAGCAAGTGACCCTTCTGAATCACCCTTATTTTCTGAGCCCTCAACAAGGTTCTTTTTCCGGGAATCATGGCGTCTCTTTGAAGATGACTGACGAGGTATTACTTCGTTGGAGCTTTCAATTTCTCGAATAGAGTTCTGACCCAGTGAGCTTCCTTTCAATGACCTTAAGGTAAATAATTTGGGCAGGTGTTAGAAATACAACTTCAACGAAAATGGAAGGATGAAGGCACCAATACTGTTTAAGAGATACTAAAGCAAATGGAGCAACGAAAACATAAGACAAATACAGAAGAAGGGAACAGAGACATCTCCCTCCCTCCCTTTCATATATTTTTAAATTTTTTACAGCATAATGTATGATGTTAGCTATGACCCCACAAATTTTGAACCTCCCATTTGAACCTAAATTAAAATCTTATGAGGATAGACGTATAAGAAAATTCTAATTAGGGATTAGATTGGACAATTTCAAATAATTTAGGGGAGTTAAGTGAGCCAAAACTTTTGAGGGTCAAGCTGGCAAAGTGAATTATTCATGGTAACAAAATAGACTTTTTCCCATTTTTCTTTCAATATTTTTCCTTAAAGAACATCAACTATTTAGTGTTTACTTGTCACTAATTAAAGAAGACCACTATTTTCCCAACTTTTCATTACTTATAGAAGGCCATAACATCTAACAGAAGAACATTTTGTATCAGACTATCAGTAGAAAAGGTTTGTACCATTTGTTCATAAATTTATTAACTTACGCCATCTTCTGAAAAAGAAAAATTGTGTAGATTCTTGTGCAACAGTATATGTACTATGTGCTATCCCATGTACGACTGAAAATCAGGAGATTTTACCACTGCGTTGTCTATATGGAATCGAAAATACTGAACAATTTGTGATGTAGGGGGGACACTGGAGGGAGGTCGATGGCGATGGCAATGGCATAGGGCATAGTTGTGGGGTGGGCGTGGCCCTGGACCTCGATGGCAAGACAGCAGGGCCATGGTCAGCTCATCACACCCTCAAGGCAGGAACAGAGTAGGAGATAGGGTAAATTGGAGTTAAATATTTGCCTACACCATCCATAGGTTTATATAGGGCACTGATGACATCTCCTGATCAATCTCCCAAAGTTCCTAACAATCTAATCAATCCTAGTAAACCAATCTCCTAAAGCCGAACCAACAGGCTAAACTTCAAACCCACTAAACTAATCTGCAAATAGGCCTGGTTTGATCCTTGCGCTGCTGCACGTCCGTGTTGCGCACTTGCGCATGCGTCTTGAACTTGAATCACCACATGACACAATTAAGAAGGTTCTTTGAGGTCCAAATTTCAGTTGCCCAAATCAGTTCGCTCTTTTGGCTTCAGATGTTTCAGCTGTAGCCATAACCATTGTCCTACCCCCAATAACTTTGAGCCCAGCTACGCTCCCAAACAGAGCAGCAATGTTACAGCAGGCAGCACAGTTCATCAGTTTGTTTAAATATGATACCAACGCCCGCATAGAATGAGAATCTATGAGTAAGATGAACAGTATGTGCGACGACCTCATCAAGGAAATAACACAACAGATAGTCATAAAAACATGAACCAAATAATGCGATACCTTGCTCCACGAGGAGAACCTCTTGTTTTGTAGCTGGGAGGGGAATGAGCATTGACATCCGTGGATAACATATCACTTTCAGATGAAACTGGTAGCTGTCTCTTATGTTCTGTCTTTATCACCGAATTTGAGTTATGGCCAGAATTATTAATCTTATCTGATGGAAACGGCTTTCCCTCCTCAACATCATGGACTCCTTTATTACCTCCTTGAGAATCCTTTTCAGTTTGGTCCACTGTCTCATCATCCATTGAATCACGGCCCTGGCACACAATCTAAAAAGCAAGGAAATGTTAAGAGTGCCTAATGATTAACTAACATGCAGTCCAAACAGCATAACATGTTTCCACGCAGAACAGATTAAACATGGATCAGATCATGAAAACATTTTACCTCAATAACAGAATCTGATTCACGCATTCGATGAGGGCGTGAATCAACAGATGGAAACCGGTCTGTGTAATTAGTTTCAACTTGTATAGATCTCCCTGTCATCTGAAAAGCAAACTCACATCACTACATAATGTAAATATGTTGGCACAGAATAATGAAGATTGAAGAAAAATAAACCATGTGTCCAAAGCTACAAGAAAAATACTCTGAGGACCAAATATTAACATCCGTGCGTGTCCAAGCCTCCAAGCGAAGAAAAGGCTATGGAATATGTATTGATTTTGTAGGATCAAGCCCGTGTACTAGTAGTTAAACAGGAAAACAACACATAGATGGATAGTTGTTAATGGTATAAATTCATGTTTGCTCTGTTGCCGATAACTATAAAAAAACTCTTGATCGATTGTGTGGAACACCAATATGTGGCATACGGACAACATGATATGTCAATAATCGTAAGTAATGGTCTATCTTACACCCATAAGCCCATAATGTGAGAAACCATACCACGACAAAACAGATTCAAAAGCAAACATGAATCAGATGTAAAATTCTAGAGATGGAGGCAAACTCAATACCACTGGCGTCCGCACGTTTGCCGGACCTCTTCCTTGGGCACTAAAATCTGTATGGCCGTTATCCGTTTTATTGCGACTGTCGGCAGAGATGTCTGGATGACCAGTCACAGCTGCTAGCTCTGGTGGCAAATCTGGGTCATAATCCTGGATGCAGATAAAAAATTATTCATCATCACTACAGATAGAACAGGATATTGTTTTCCATAATATGGGATCATACTAAACCTGTTCGGAGCGGCCACTTTCGTACACCCGTATTCTAGATTGCATTGTGGATTCTAGTCGAAGTTGGTCCTGGCGATAAAAGAATACATGTTTAATTGATTGTTTATATGTAGTAAACAAACTATATGCGCTACCAAATGTAAGAAGTGGACTCACCAGCTGCTTGCAAAAATCTTTCCACTTCTCTTCATCAAGGCCAAAGTTAAAAAAGTCTGAAATATCAGCACCAGGGAATTTCCATGGCTTCTCCTCAAATGCGGTTTCCACGTCAATATCAAATATTGTCCTAATTCAAATAATAATAAGTCTTTACTGTAAACTAATATTGAATGAGCACAAACTAGAACCGCCCATTATAAAAAAATGTATATATTTAGAACAAGAAAATGATGAATGAGTCTAAACTAGGATTGTAATCTGATTGCAAATGAAAGAACAGCATAGATGTCCAGAACTCTTAATCTCACCCTAGACCAGAAAATGAGACACATGTGCATCCGGTACAGTGCTATTTGTGATTCTACATGCTTTAGAATCTAAAGTGCATTTATAATCCAGCAAGCACATCCCCATCATCCAGTGCTCACTGATAAGAATATTTAATGGTTTTATTTAGCATCCGTACATGATTGCTTAAGCTTAAATATACAGTATTCAAGTTATAGATGTTTCTTATTTACACAGTAACTGGGTAAGTATGATGCATGTATCTCTCTTTTTCTATAGTTTAGTGTGGTACAAAATCTGATCGCACCAAGGTTGGAAACTTCTACAGCAAAATCTCTCTTCTGACTTAAATAAATTATCAATGTTTCACAAACTCTAAAAAATCATGGCCATAGGACACGTTGTGAGACAGATTGATACAGGGATAAATATCAGTGTGGAACAGATTTTGCACTCTGTGTCCTGAACTGACATAATATGATAGGGAAATCTAAATCTCTCATAAGAAGTACAAATTCTCCACTTCATGTATTCTTGCCACATGTGCTATTGGTCCAAAAAAACGGAAATTCATGCATTCCTCAATTATCCAAAGTGCCATTGAGTAGACCTGGTTGATCACAGGCACAAAAAGGTACATCATTTGCCCCCTCCCCCAGGAAAATATAAATCTTTCGGGCATTTCTCCTTGGAACAAACCCATTTTTCTACAATTATACTCCCTCAGTCCCTCTAAACCAAATTGTAAATCGTTTTGACTTTTCTAGGTACATAGCTTTTCTAGGTAAAAGCCTACAACTTACAATTCGAACAGAGGGAGTACAAGTTTTCCCAGAACAAGAAATACTGTTCATGTGTGATAGCTTTCAAATAACCACCATAATGTTTGATGAACAAATTAATCCAAGTTCAAAAATGTCGCTCTCCAACCAAAATAGTCCCAGCTTGTCACCTTCCATCTTAATGAAAAATAGTCCTTATATAAACTAATGTCACTCTTCAGGGGTTCTTTGACATATATGAACAGACACTGCTACATACTATCATATAATATGGCAGTCACAATAAGTGTATACGATAATCACAATGATTGTAATGTACATATGCTCCATGCTAGTCTGCACAGGGCGCACTTTCCAGCTCGTGGAAGACTTGGATCCAACAGTAATTATAACCTCAACGATGTGGTTGGTTGTACAACCCTCACGCAAGTGTTTCTATGCTGCCTGTTGTGGACTTAGCCATACAGTAGAATTTTGTAGCAACTACTTCAGAAGTATTATTAAAGATGGGACAATCAGTAAGACATTTGCAAGGGCAAAACAATTGAAAGTAAATGGTATACTGTACTCCAAACTCTGAAGTATATTAATTGCAGGTAGCAGTTAACTTACTTGTGAGGAGGAAGTGCAAAATCTAGTCCACCACCAAAACCGCGCCCTGAACCACCCCATGAAGTGATTCCATAGCCTGAATGAAAACTTTTATTCATGCCTCGACCAGCAGCAGGCCTCCAGTCACCTCTACCACGACCAGAGAAAGGGCCTGAAGGCCCAGGAGGGCGGAACTGACCAGGACCACCAGGTACCCCACCTACTGAAGGAGCGCCAGGGCGTACATACTGCAACAAGAAGAAATAATCAACAAGGCGAACATAACCTTACTTCGAAAAGTATAGCAACAAAGCCTTTTGGTCCAAGCAAGTTGGGGCAGGCCAAAAAGTACAGCGAAGAAAATGAGAGAACAGTTATTGGCAGCAATTCAACAGAAAGAACATGACAAATTATTATTCATGTAAAAGAAACAAAAAAAGGGTGAACAGTTCTTGCATGAGCAAACAATGTTCAAATAGATAAACATCATCAGTTTGCCAAACAAGCAAGTCATGGGAATAGCTGATAATAAATAAATATATATATCATGCTGTCAATGAAACAAACTTTGACTGCTATGTCAATATTAAACTGACACTTCTGTGCGCATACACTGTTTGTTTTCCGGGCATAAGAGATATTGCAGTTTCAAGAAAACTACATGAAAATAATAAATTAGGACTGTTATCTTAAATATTTGCAATATCATAAACATTTTGTAGGAAAAAGAAACAACTTTCCTTCCAAAAAGCAAAGAAAAATGAAGTTCGTGCAAATTGTCTTAGAAAACTCAACCACAAAATTAAGATATTATACAGACATGCGTACGTCATAAACTTTTATTAACCCTATTGGAGCTTGATATGAGCATGAGTAGTCATGCAACAATCCACACGAAACAAAATTCCCAGAATAAAATGCTGGTGACAGATTAGCAAAAAGTGCAACATCTCAGCTCCTTGGAACAAAAGGCTACACCAACTTGCTTTGCGGATTTTGTTTCATCTCTAGCCTACCCCGACCTTCTTGGGACATGTGGCTTGTTGTTGTTGTTGTTACTTTTATGTTAGTTACAGCTACTTCTAAATCATTTAGCTCTACTTGCGTGTATATGGCATATACAACCTCCCTCGAATGACCAGGTTGTCTATAAGGCCAAGTATAGTTCATCAGGCTGGCACCAGTTGTAAGTAAGCAGGGCCGTATTTCCGTCGGTAGAAGGGAAATGGAAACATATCCATCAGCAGCAAATTGTCAATTTGAGATCAACACTCACAAAACCAACTCAGCTACCAAATTCTAAACCTGCCATCATGGAGACTAACTTGGGCACATATAGCATTGTAGCATTATAACTCAGTATACACAGCCAAATAGCTATTTTTGGGGGACACTGCTGAAGCTTTGGATTGATGGCAACTTAGCAAGGATTGTAATGCACTTTGAGCTGGACAATATCAACTACCATGTGCCCCTATCTCTTATTAGACCGCAACGGATATTAGTGAATTGGACCAGCTGCACACCTCTGTACAGGTGAAATGGTGGCATCAATGCATCATTCTTCAAAACGGTCAGCTTTGTACAGATCACATCTGCATCTGTAGACTGAAATTCCATTACTGACATGCGACATAGAAACCAATCAGCCTCAACATTACCATCATGAAAGCTACGCCAGCATGGAGATAACCCGTTTCAAGGGCTGAACGTTTGAGAATGCTATATGGAGGCATCCAATAGAAAATGCAATGCCATTGAATTTTTCTTCCTTTCTTCATTTATAGACCATGCTAATAATGCATTTACAGTTACATTGTGGAATGGTACGCAAAGGATTGTAAAAAGAAACTAAACTTGACAAGAAATTTCCACAAAGTAACACAGTACAACATAAAGGAAAGTGAGTTGCAACCAGGTTTACGCCGTCTCCCTCTGCAGGGGTGGCCAGAGCGCATCGTACGCCTTCTTGGCCCAAATAACTGACCTTGAACATGGAATGGTGCTGCTGATGGAACCCTGGGCCGCCGCCACTGTACCCGATCCTTCCGCCCGGTGCCGCCACCGTCTTACCAGGCTCACCTCCGTCCTTTCGCTCTCCTTCTGCCCCTGCCGCTGCTGGGTCCTCTCCCCAGTCCTGCTCCTCCATCCCGGTGATGTGTGGTCCATCGGCGACGATGACGAGGTCCTCACCGTCTTCGTCGTCTCCTTCATCCTCCCCGAGCCCCCGGCGGCCATCGGTCTCGTTGAGCACGATCTGGATGTCGTCTTCGCTATCGCTGTCCCATTCGTCGCTCCCGGCCGCACCAGCTGCCACCGACGACGAGAGCCCAGGTATGGCCGGCCCGGAATCGCCCGCACCACCACCCATGAGCGGATCGATATCATCCGCAGAGGTGGGCCGCTTCGCGGGAGGTGCGGGCTCGCCTCCATCGTCGTCCTCGTCGGCCCAATCGCCGGTCGGATCGACCCCGGGTATGGGGTCGCTCCCTCCTAGGAGCCAGTCATCGTCCTCCTCCTCCGCTGCCGCCGCCAAGGGGGGAGGATTAGGGTTTGGAGGCTGGCGGGGTAGGGTTTCGACTGGAACAGGGTTGGATAGCGCGGAGGTGGATGCGGGGGTCTGAGTAGGGATGAGGATGTCGGTGTAGAGGTCGCCGAACTCGTCGTCTTCCTCCATCGCGGCGCGGCGGCGGGATCCGAGGAGGTGGAGGACGGAAGGCGGCGGCGGTGGGATGGTGCGAGGAAGAGGAGTCCGAGTCGTATAGTTTGCTTCGGAGCTGCTTATTTAGGCCCCTGTGGCAGGAGAAATTTCAATATTTGACCATCTCGTCCGCCTCTCTATATTTTTAACACTTAATTAACACGTTTTTAAAAATTTGACCAAAACCTTACACTGATCTGGGGATGCGTTTGATCCTCCGAATCGAATTCATTTTAATAATTATAATTTAAACATAGATTAATTAAGTTAATATAGTTGTATATGAAATATATTTATATATATTTATTGTTAAGCATGCAAGGGACATACTTATATGTTGCATTTTTTATTGTAGAAAAGTGAGTTGAAGAGTGTGCTATAAGTTGGAGAATAGAATTATAGCATAGTGATCTATAGAATCCATTTCCATCTCTCACCCTATGAATTTGAGATAGACTTATTTGTGAGCTTGGGAATATTATGGAATGTCAAATTCTAAGTCAAATAGCCTAATCCATTATGTAGATTTCAATTTCTTCAAAATGAATGGATCCAAACGGCGAGATTTTTCTAATTTTTTGTTTTCAATAGTCTTTCCTCTTAACTTTTAGGCTATAGGAAAAGACCAAATTACACTCTTCACAGGAAGTCTATCCAATCGGCCACATCCGCTCAGGCCGTGAGTCGCGAGGACTCCCCTGACCCGCTGGACGTCGTGGCCAGCCCAAGCGTAGCTGCCGCCCTCGACCAAACTCCGCCTGCCCTTGCTTTCCTCCTCCGCTCCTCCATCTCACCCCTCTGCTACTCAGGAGGCTGGTCCCGACGTTCTAGGGTTTGGGCATCAGGCCCTAGTCGCCTCCTCGGGTCACCGGCTCCTTGTCTCCTCCTTCGCCGCCTCCACAGCATGTTGCGATACCGGGGCATGCGCCAACCGACGCGAACGAGGTTGGGGTAGGCAAAAGGAGCGTCCAAGGTCCTCTTTTAGGGGTAGGGGTAATTTAATCTTTTTTCCAGGACCTGTTGAGAGGAGAGAGTATTGAAAATAGAAAATGAGAAATCCCTTAGATCAAAAGAGTTCTCTTACCCTAGGTTAAAATTCTGAAGGCATGCAAATTGAGTGATAAAAATATAGAGGCGAGTGTATTGAGGATCAAATATCAAAATTTCTCCATGTGGCAGGGATCTTTACGGCGTTTCAGCTTCGGCTATCTAGCCTCTAGCCTCAGCCTTGCCAGACGCAAGAGATCTTGGAAAGTTTCTAAAACCCACTCTCAATCCTTGTTTTCAACAAATTAAAAAGAAAAAACTCTCCTCCAACCATTCCTTTCCTTTTAACTCTTAGTCTTTTCGCACTTAGGGGCTATTTGGCATGACACCAAAGTGTTTTGGATCCATCTCTAAGAGCACAACAGTGGTTATTATAGCATGGAGCTCTTTTTCTCTCTTCAAATAAACACGGAGCCAAGAGGAGCCACGATTTGTCAGATAAAGCTGGACCAAGAGGAGCCTAGGGAAAGAGGGTGAAAGGACCTTGATGTCGCCTAGAGGTGGTGAATATGTGTTTCTGAAAATTAATAATAAATAAAACTTTGCAACAGATTAGCAGAGTGCGGAATTTCCACATTTCAGCGTAACTTTCACACAACACGGAATAGAACGAAGTTCACTACACCAGACTTGTAGATGTTCAAGCACAAACCAAACTTGTAGATGTGTTTAGAGATGTCCAATAGCAAGTTCACAAAGTACCTGCACGTACAAACACACATAACCTAGTAGATCGAGTGAAAAGCAAATATTTCACTTCAAACATGACGTGAGTAAAAGGACCAAGATGTCAAAAGGGGGGTGAATTGAGCTAATCTAAATTTTCTTACAATAATTAAGCCATACACTTAGTCCATTTCACCCATAGTGCCAAAATGTGTTCTCTATTGTTCTACTGCACAAAAGTTTTGCACCATAGGTTCTAATCCTACTCTGGCATGTTAATTCTAAGAATGTAAAGACATGAATTGAATTGCTCAAAGGCAAATGCCCAAAGTAAAGAGAGGGAGAGGAACGCGACGATGTTTTTCTGAGTATCGGAGAGTCGTCACTCCCCCCTAGTCCTTGTTGGAGCACCCGTGCAAGGGTGTAGCTCCCCGTTGATCCGCGCAAGGATCAAGTGCTCTCTACGGGCTAATTCTTTGACACTACATCGCGGTGAATTATCCACAACCGCTCACACCATGACTTGGGCCATCCACAAGCTCCGTCGAATGATCACCATGCTTCCAATCACCATCGAGCCGTCTAGATGATGGCGATCACCAAGAGTAACAAGCACAAACTCTCACTTGATCAAGACAAGCCTAATGAGAAAGGTGGATGTACACTTGCTACTCCCTATGCACTAATAAGGTCCTTAATCTTGAATTATCAAATCTCAATCACCCCACTAGGCTCTTGCTCTCCCTTACACTCCAAAGTGTTTCCTCAGCTGAACAAATGGGCAAGAAAACCTCAATGCACGAGTTGGACATGTATTTATACACCCCACACCCAAACATACCCGTTGAGCTCCAACTCAGCATTTTTAGTAGTGGCCAGACGCGTCCGGTCCTTACCCGATGGCCAAATGACGTCGGCTGTCAGAGTTAGTCGTTACAGTGACTGGACCCGACGTAAAGTCCGGTCCTAAAATGGGTCTCTAGACCCACTCTGTTCTTGACTGGACTTTGACAACTAGGGTCCGGTGAAAGCTCTAGTTTAGTTTTGGTAAATTAATGAAACCCTAAGTGTTAACCTAGTTTATCAAAGTGATCATGAGATAGGTAGCACATTCCAAGTGGTGAAACAAATGAAGATCATGACATGATGATGGCAATTCCATGATGATGATCAAGTGCTTGGACTTGAAAAAGAAGAAAAAAAAAAAAAGACTCAAGGCAAATGTATAAGTGGTAGGAGCCATTTTGTTTTGGTGATCAAGACACTTAGCGAGTGTGATCACATTTAGGTTCGATAGCCGTACTATTAAGAGGGGTGAAACTCGTATCGAAATACGGTTATCAAAGTGCCACTAGATGCTCTAACTCATTGCATATGCATTTAGGATCTAGTGGAGTGCTAACACCCTTGAAAATGTTTGTGAAAAATATGCTAACACACATACACAAAAGTAATACACATTGTGTTTAGCACTTGGAAGCAAGGGTAAGAAACTTCATCGGTGGAGTGTCCGCCCGTAGAGTACGCATAGTCCGATGGTGCCACCGGCGCACTGTACAGAAAAGACAGGGTTTCACAGAGTGCACCGGACGCTGGCCTCAACTGGACCGGTGCGTCCGGTCAGTGGAAGAAGTGAAGACGCTGGCGTCGGTCTTCGACTGGACGCTGGGTCACTTCGTGATCGGACACTGGCGAGATGCATCCGATCCTGCTGACATGGCAGCGCACAGAGGAGACAGTGTGTGACCAGACGTAGGGTGAGTCTGGTCGGGCATGACCGGACGCGTCTGGTCGTGAGTGGAGGCTTACTGGAAATGACCAGATGCTGGGGTCCTGCGTCCGGTCATGATCAAACTGACGCATCCGAGAGCAGCTGGAACCTTACTAGAAGTGACAGGACGCTGGGGTCCTACGTCCGGTCATGGCATTGTGCTGCGTCCAGTCATCACTTGACCGTTGGGATCGGGCGCTCAGTATTTGAAGAGAGAGATGACGTGGCAGCCATCCGTTGACCGAACGCTGGCAGGGTGCGTCCGGTCGATCTGACCGCAGCGTCCGGTCACCCCGAGTTGTGCCCAGTGAAGAGGTACAACGGCTCTATTTCGTGGGGGCTTCTATTTAAGCCCTATGCCCGGCTTTAGCTCACTCTCTTGGTCATTTGCATTGACATAGCAACCTTATAAGCTTAGCCAAAGCACTCCCACTCATCTCCATCATTGATTCAACATCTTTGTGAGATTGAGAATGAATCCAAGTGTATTGCTTGAGTGTTTGCATCTAGAGGCACTTGGTGTTCGTGTTTTGCTACGGGGTTCGCTTGTTACTCTTGGTGGTTGTCGCCACCTAGATGGCTTGGAGCAGTGAGGATCGTCGAGCGGAGGTTGGTGATTGTCTCTGGCTCCGATCGTGGTGATTATGAGGGGTTCCTGACCTTTTCCCGATGTAGAGCCAAAAGGTACTCTAGTGAATTGCTCATGGCTTGTGTGATCCTCATCTTATGTTGGTTGTGTGGCACCCTATTGAGGGTTTGACGTGTAATGCCAATTAGCGCGTGAACCTTCAAGTGAGTGAATTGCCACAACAAGGACTAGCTTACCGGCAAGCAAGTAAACCTCGGTAAAAAATCATTGTGTTCATCATTTGATTCTAAGGTGATTGATCTTCATTGGTATTCATTCTTATGATTGATTGGTTCACTCCTCAACACGGTGGTATAAACAACTTGCTCACTCTCTTTACATTACCACAAACTAGTTGTCAAGCTCTTTAGTATAGATAGTTGTGAGAGCTTGTTAGTTTGGTTAGTGTGACTCTTTAGTTAGCCTTTGAGAGCATACTAACTTAGTGTAGTAATATAGCTATTGTGTGGATAGAAACTATATAAACTAGAATTGTGGTAGATGGCTTGCAATTTTAGTAGGCTAGCGTAACACTTACTTCGTCTCATAATTATCTAACCGGTTTGTTAAGTGTTGTTGTAGAAATTTTTAATAGGCTATTCACCCCCCTCTAGCCATTAGGACCTTTCATCCGGTCACTTACCTTCTAGAGTCCGGTCCAGCGACTACGCGAGTCGCTAGCATCAACAGGGCAAACGTCGGGTCCGGTCAGCCACCTGGAGCAGCGTTCGGTCGTGGCTAAGTTGTTACTGCACGCTCCGTGCACTGACCGGACTCAGCTCGTCTGAGTCCAGTCAAGGCAACAACAGCGACCGGTCAATCTAAAATCACTCTATTCACTTCCAATTCAAAACACATTGTGAA